GGCATCACAGCTTTCTTAGACCTGCATTCACTAGCAAAGTGACCCTTGTGGTGACAGTTGTAGCAGATCGTTGAGGACTAGTCTATATTATCACTTGTTGGTCAGCGAAAGGGTTCTGCTGAAGTTACTTTTTCTGGAGAATCTCCTAAAAGATCTAGTCAATAGCGCCAATGATTCATCAAAGTCTGCAAGATCAGACTCTGATAGATCCTCGGAGTTAGTAGAGTCTAGCTTAGTGATAACAATAGGAGGAAGAGAAGAAAGAGAAGATGGGAGTTCAGCTGAAGCATCTTCAGAGATTAGAGCTAACGGAGAGCTCTTCATTTCTCTGGAATCTTTGATTAGATTCATTTTCAGCTGTCGAGACTGCTCATGATTGAGCAATATCCCATAAAGAGTGCTAAGAGAGAGAGATGACATGTCATTGGACATCTTGAGACACATGGCATAAGTATCCCAAGACTCAGGCAAACATCCCAGAAACTTCGTTAAAGTTTCAGAATTAGAATATTCACTGCCTACAATCCTTAAATCTATAAGAAGATAATTAAAACGTTGATGTACTTCAGACAATGTTTCAGTCTTTCCACAGAGAAAGCTTTCATATTGTCTTACTAAATTAATCTTCCTCGATTCTTGAACCTAAGAGGTTCCTTCATATTGAGCACATAAAGTGTCCCACATGGATTTAGAGGTTCTGAGTTTCATCACATAATGATAAACCTCATCAGGAAGAGACATAGTTATTATAGACCTAGCACAAGTGTTTATAGCTATCTTCTTTTTGTCTTCGTCGCTCCATTGATGAGGGAGCTTTGGAATCTGCCGTTCAGGAATCGCGGCAGTCGTAGCTGTTTCAGAAACAGCCAGAGAAATAGCATATGGAACATATGGTTCATTTTCTATGTAGTGTGGAATTTCAGGATCCACACCTTACAGAAAGAGAACATCCGATTTTTCCAAAAACTAAAGTTGTCTCGGATAAATTGGAGTAGTTTGGCAAGAGAGCCAGTGTGTTTGTGTTTTGTAAACCCATTTGAAAGCAATAAGATTATCTAAAAAAAAGTGATAATATAATGTTGAAACAACTAAACAACAAGAATAGAAATACACTGCTCTGATACCATTTGTTGGTCCCGTTATGGTCTACAAGATGTGTATAACAGTTTGTAGAAGAGGGAGATGAATACAAACACAGTAAACTTTTCAAATTTAAAATGTATATTGATAAAGAATTATCAATACAGATTTTACAAGATTGTTTGCGAAAAGATAATGTAAAGATAACCTATCTAAAGAATCTAAGTTACACACAAGTTCTTAGCAAAGAGAAATGATTTGTTGTTTAAGACTTAGAAGAAAGTAAGTTCTTTCTGGGTAAGAACTATTTAGAATACTTAAAAGGGATTCTAACTTGCTTTTGAAGATAAGCATATTATGTTCTTTAGATGTGTGTTCTTTCACGTATGAATGTAAGAGTTAGGGTCCAAGAGTAAAAGATGTCTTTGCATGGAAATGCACATTTAATGCAATGCAGTGGGGTTTGAACACGCGTCAAACCTTTAGAGAAAGACTTGTCCTTTGCTATAGTGAATAGTACAAAAAGTGTATTCATGAGCAGACATCCTTTCATATAGTTGGTGGGTAGTAGAGTCAACTAATCGGCTTCACACCGTACTACACTCTAGAAAGGGTATGGGTTTGTCCTTTGTGTGTGGAAGTACAAGACAAAAACAATCGTGCTCAACAAACTTCTTTTGATCGCTGAATGCTGGAATAACCTGAAGGTCTCTTCAGTATTTGCTAAGGCTTGGGCAGTCTTCACACATGTGTAGACCAGATTGTAATCACTTAATAGCGCTTCGTATCACGAACTCGTCAGTCTCTAATCTTCAGCTTCAGTCTTCGACTTTCTCTGAAGGTTCTTTGGTGTGAGTTTTGTCTTCTTGAAGTATCGTTGTAATGATGGATTTACATTCCATGTTCTCAGCGATCACTGAACAGACTCAGTGATGATCGCTGGAACTGAAAGACAGAAATATAAATACTTCGTATAAGGTAAAAGGGATTATATCAAATCACTGAGAGAGAGGATCAACATGGCCCTATTGTGATTTCTATGTCTATCAACATAATGCCTTCGTATTTGATATGCTCGGTTTATGTGTTTAAGATGTTCAATGAAATGTTCAAGTGGATTGAATCTATTATGGGATTTGGGTTTTTGTATGATTTAGATACACATTTGGATTCATGAAATCACCTAAATCCACTCCACAATTAAGTCTTACATGTTGGATTGTTGATGACATTAACATATCCATCTTCTTGAAGTATACCTATTTTGTAGTTTGATTCCTGTTGCTTTCAAAAAAGTCTTTCTCCTTCTCTTATCGATTCTTTGACAATCATTCTTCTCCAACTCACTTCTGATGGCCCAATCGTCAGCATTCTGTAGGCTAGAGTAAATCTTCAAAGGTTGGTTGAATGGGAAACTAACCCCCAAATCTTTATTGTTCTTGAACACCCTGATAGAAATGTATCTACAAAGAAACTGGCATGCCCAAGTCCTAATTATATCAAGATCATGTATGTGTGTGTATATATATATATATATATGAAATTTTTGTATATCGTCGGTTGGCTGTAGAGCCACAAAGAAACAAGTAATACTTACACAAATATGTTAAAGATTCTAGAGAATGGAGTAGGAGTGGTAAGCTTTGGTGGGATCAAACGAGAGGTAGATATGCTGCTTCCAGTCGCCATTTCCGTTGGTGAAAACATTGGTTTGAAGAATGTACGATTGCTCTATTCTGTTCCCCAAAAGCTCGAAATCTATCTCATCAAACTCAAAGTTTTGCTATGAAAGCTGTAATTATTCCAATAAATGCACACACATTTAGGCTATGTTTGAGTTGATAAGTTAGCTGATGGCTGATAAATTAGTTGGTGGTTGATAGGCTGATAAAAATATAAAATGATCAAAAAAGACATTCAGAAAAATTAATCAATTATAATATTTCAAAATATAATTCAAACAAATTTATAATAATATAATATATTAACTAATGCAAACAAGATAGTAAAAAGTTAAAAATATATAATAAAAGAATTTTATATTGATTACTACACACACACACACACATATATATATATATATATATATATTATAATATTTTGGATTTGTTAAAACATATTTTTAAAAAAGAAACTGTTATTTATGATTTTAAACAACCAATACATATAATATACATACAAACATAATTAAAAATAGTATTCCTCATATATCCTAATTATTTTTTACTAATAATATACTTAATAAAATATTTTATTCAAATTATTTAATACATGTTTATTATCTATGAAACAAAATAAGTATAACTTTAGTTTTTATGTTATATTGACAATAAGCTACTAAAACACTACTCCAAGTAGTGTTTCAATAAGTTAACTAATATACATCAAAACATGTTTTCAGATTTTTTTTTTTTTTTTGACAAACAATGTTTTAGCTTGATTACACACACTAAAAGTGTCGTAGCTGACAAAATCTTAGGAAACCATCTTAATTTGTATATTGAAATGGCCACTTGTGTCTTTTTTTTCTTACAATTTTTTATTGTTGTTAATCGTATATTGTTTTCATCTGATTTTAATCGACAAAACTGATGCACATATTGAAGAAAAAAATTTAATGAAGAAAATGTTAATATTTCAATAATTTTAGACAAAATTGGTATTATTAATAAATTTTGAAAAATTAAATTATTAGAGTAAATTACGGATTGATCCTTGTAGTATGCTAATTTTTATGGATTTGGTCCTCAAACTTTATTTATTATATAAAATGCCTTGTGATATGTACTTTCTCTTGGATTTGGTCCTTAGGCTTAACGTTTGTCACTTTCCTCCGTTAATCTTAAGGGCATTTGTGTATTTTTATATTTATTTCTCATAACTTAAGTGGTTTTTTATTATTGTCTTTTTCTTTTTTAATCACCATTCATAGAATGACACCTGTCATGAAGTTAAAGAAAACCCTTTCCTCTCTCCCTTTGATTCACGTTGAACCTCATCATCCCTTCATCACAAATCTCCGGCGGTCATTTCAGGTGAAGCGCCCCCTTCTCACCGGACCACCCCTCATCCACCTCCATTGCTCCGATCACTATCCACTACACTACCCTAACTCGTCGTTGCTTTTCCGCACATGCAAACCTCCACAGTACCCCCTCGGCCTTCTCCGATGACATTCACGGCTACACATCTCCTTGAAACCTCTACATGGACAGACCTCGGCTTGTGGTTTAGGTGGCACGTGCCACCGTATTATTTCTCCGCTGAATGGTAAAAAAATTAGGTTTCGTGAATGGTGCAACCGTATTAATTTGTTGTGTGCCACCGTATGTATTTTGATACTACAATGAGAACAAATTTTATTTGATAGAGTTGGTTTGCAAGACTTTTATTCCACCCCACATCCAAGTTCGAATACTGTTAGTGTCATTTTTTTAGTCAAATGGTGTCACAATTTGAAAAAAAAAATTCCGTGTATATGTTTCTTATAGTCAAACGGTGCCACCATTCGAAAATTTTCCCAATATTTCTTTTATGGTCAAATGATGCCACCATTCGAAAATTTTCCCAATATTTTTTTTATGGTCAAATGATGCCACCATTTGAAAAAAATTTATGTCTTTCTAAAGCTTTCCATATTTATACTTTTAGTTTTAGAGAGTTGTACATAATTTACTTTATAATATTGAAGTTTTTTATTATTAGGAAGATGACAAAATTTTAACTGGGGTTAACTAAAGTAGATAACGGATATAAATCATAGGACCCAATTTCAATAGAAAAGTACAAACCATCGCGTCATCTACATAATAAATAAAGTTTGAGTACCAAAAACATAAAAATCAACATAACACAGGGACTAAATCCATAATTTAATATATATATATATATATATATATAAAGCTAGATGGCTATACCAACCCTACTTTCATATCTCCCGACTCCTGGAAAGCATTATTTTGAGCTCAAAAACTGTTGAATGGCCAATTTTTCTCCTTCAAGTTTTTGCTCCTCTTCCTGCATAACAGCTTTCATCATTTTGCAGCTCTTATGGAGTTGTAGGTTGTTCGCCAATGGATGTTATACTTCAATCATCAGTTTCGGGGACTCACTAGCCGATACCGGTAACCTCAAAATGCTTTCCGCCTATAAACCTGATCAAGAATCCCTCCATTTCTTTTTACCCCCTTATGGCGAATCCTTTTTTCACGTACCCACTGGTCGTTGCTCCAATGGTCGACTCGTCATTGATTTCATCGGTAACTCCTATCCGAACCTCACTTTGCAATTTGATTTCTTAGTCTATAAATTAGGATATATTGCAAGAATCTTCGTTTTTTCAATATAATTTATCATTCCTGTTCGGATACGTGAAACCCTCGATTGGGTGTCGACCCCTCAGATGTGCTAGACATATACCCTGATACCATATTCGGATACGTAGAATTCTTGATTCTATTTGTAAAAGAGTCCATATGTAAACACGAAAAAAAATCCACATATATAGATGTGGGTTTTTTTAACCGTAACCAAGTGACATGGGACTCCAACAATTCTATTTGAATATCCATATTGTATTAATTTACTGGTCTCTACATGTTATAAACTTTGTGTAACAACAAAAAAATAATTAATGGTCAGGATTCCATACTTCGTCTAAACAGCAGAATAATGATTTATTGTGGGCACACTATATATATATATATATATATATATATAACACACACATATATACATAGTTTATCGTACGTTAAACGGTTCTCTTGTTTTGTGAAGCCGAGAGCATCGGGCTGCCATTGGTAGCACCATTTGTGGGTGGCAACAGAAATCGCCTGATGGAATTTCGACGAGGAGTAAACTATGCGGTGGTGGGTGCAACCGCATTGGACTCTTCATTTCACGCGGCTAGAGGGGTTCCTAATCCTTTGACGAATTCGTCTTTGAGGGTTCAGTTGGGGTGGTTCAAACAATCGTGGCCATCTATTTGCGCCAAAGTTCAAGGTAAGTACCAACCTATTTAAACAACACCTCATGCCAATCCCACCCGGATTTAATTTCACATTTTCACTCGTCTTCGTCCTTTATTGCGTTATATCAATTGACATGTTTTGGGGAAAAAAATCACATCATTTTTTTAATTGTGAGTGTTCGGATCAATTTATGCGTACTTCAGTTAATCTCATTTACGTGTGGCGTTGACCCATTTACGAGCTTCTTTAATCGTAATCGCTGTTCATTTACTTCGATTTGAAAGTTGAGTTATGATCGTGATTGTGTGTGGAGTCCACCCCAAAAAATATGCACCATTCGTTTAGATAGTTATACTCGTTCCTCTCAGTATTGCTGCCTTGCTGGTGCAATTATTATATATTTAAAAGTAAATTACGTTTTTGTCCTTATGGATTGTTGAAAATTATGGTTTTTGTCTTTATGCTTAAAAATTAGAGTATTTGTTCTTATGTTTTGTGATTCATTGTTATTTTTGTTTTTATAATTTATAATTTATAATTTATTTTTGTTTTCGTTCTTGTAATTTACAATTTCTACTGTTTTATTTACTTATATTATAAATGTAGGAATTTATTCAGAGACGAAAATAGCAACAAATTATAACCATAGAGATGAACATCGTAATTTCTAAGCCACATAGACAAAAATTGAGTTATCTACAAACCACAGGGAAGGAAATTATAATTTACTCTATCTATTTATAAAGAAATTGAAAAAAAAAATCTTAAAAATAACTTTTTATGCATAAAGTACTGTTTATTGATGCATATTACGTAAAATTCAATATTATAAGTAATTTTGCGTAAGTACAACTTATTAAAGCTCCATTTTTAAATTCGTATAACTAATTGCAGATAAACATAATTAAATACATGATAAACATTCATTTTAAAAAATATAATTAAGATAATCATTAAGTTCTAACAAAATGTTCAATTATCACTTTTATAAAAAATTATATTATTAAACCAAAAATAAATTAGTTTGTTACCGAATCTAAATTAAATTATAATAAAAATTGAATTAAAAAAGTTACACAAAAAGGCGAAAATTATTAAATAGTTAATTTGATACTAATATCAATTATTTTTCAATTTTTTATGCTATTTTTTTAATTTTTATGCTATTTTTAAATTTATATTTCATTCATAAATAAAAATATTATTCTTTCTTCTTATAACCACATAAAATCGTATTATATCTATATAGACAGAATAATAACTAAACAGTAAAATGAAGATTTATTTCGCGCAATGTGCACGAGTATATTTCTAGTATTTAAAGATAAAGTTGGATTAGAATGAAACAAATCCTTAATTCTTATTTTAAGAAACAAACTGAGTTTTTTCCTCTACTTTTCTTTTGGTTATATATCAAATCACCTTCAATAGAAATGACGTCCGACCAGGAAGTATGAGAGCTAGCCCATTTTCCCTTTTGGGTCGGTTGTGGACGAGAGGAGGGAGTTGAACCCCCAACACTGCAGTTCATAGCCACGTGCTCTAGTCATCTAAGTTAGCGAAGACATTTAGGCTAATAGAAAAGAAAAGATCCGTGCATAAGTGAGATGAGCTATTTATCATTACTATAGGTATCAAGTGCAAGTGAATTCTTAGCTAGCTCAAAAGCTTCATTCTTCAACATGAGTTGGTTTAGTACTTCAGGGCGACCCAATTGCTTGTATTGGGCCTTTCGTACATATGTGGACGATAATAACTTTATTCCTTCTGAGTGAGGATCAAGGATCATACACTGGATCCACGACTTTGCTTAACCTAGCCTGAAAACAACATGTCGTTGATGATGAAGGGATACTTGGACCTGCTTGGGGACTGATTGGTTTGCATCGGGCAACAACGGTTCTGCCTTGCCCTACTTAAGCATGCATATTAGGTCACCTCTAAAACATTATATATAGTAAATATGAACTGAATCTAAAAAGATATCTTACAAGATAAATCTAAATAATCATTCATGGGTCTAAAGCAAAATTTTCATATATTTAAGGGTCTTAGTTAACTTATTGACCTACTATATAACACCCTCAAATTTGAAAAGAGCAACTAATTTAAAATTTTCAATAAAACATCAAATAATGATAAAGTCTCTTTCTAAAAGTCAACACTTGATTACCTATAATGGCAATCTAATATTCAACATCAATACATAATATTTCCAAACCTTACACAAGTCCATAATTAGGGACGAACAATACTAGAACTCAACAACGGTTGCTATCTCCAACATATAATTATAAAACGGTACGATTGAAAAAACTGCTTATTTAAAAAGGGTTAGACTTGATGCATAGTGAGTTCAAACAATTTTTATCATAATTATAAAACAGTACGACTGAAAATTGCTTATTTAAAACATAATTTCTCAAATTAAATGTCTTTATCGTAAAAGCAACGTCTTTCTTAACCCACCATTTTTGTGATGAAAACTCTAAATCAAAACACACATACAATATGAATTCAAAACCCAATATCCACTCCAAAACATAAGTAAAGTTCAATGTCCAAATATATAAACATTGATAAAAACTCTATTATCAAAAAATACCCAGAATATGGATAAGGTTCAATACCTAAAATCATAAATAATGGAAAACACTCCATACTCAAAACAAGACCAAAAACATTAGATAATACACTATCTGAGAATAACACCTTTTGGTGATAAGGGAAACCCACTATCGATTGTGGTCAACACAAAAGTAAGTCACATTCTATGTTAATGAGTTCCATTATGGATCACACGATCATCAAGTTCAATCATACGCAATCTATAGCTTGAGTCCTCAACTGATCCTAGACATACTCGTTCATTAGAAATTATAGCCAATATGACCATGGTCATTAAGTTCAATCACTCACGGTCTATAGCTTGAGTAGTCTGCTATGGATCATACATTCATCAAGTTCAACCACCCACAACATGTACCTTGATTCATCCACTGTACCTAAATAATTCTAGCTACATTTCAAGGATAGAGATCCCATTTTAATACCAACAGATCGACTCTTATGCTTATGGAGTCATTGCATTATAGTCTAAAGTACATGACCTCAAATGAATCAACGCGTACTTAAAGCATGTAACATTCAAATAAATATGTCATGACTGCATATAACTCTAAAAGCTCGACAATGAAAAAAAAACAAACCAGACATACGTCCCCAAGACTCATCTGAGTCAAAACTGAGCCAAATTCTCAACAACTCAACTGAATATTCAATAAAAGTAATTATAAGTTATAATAAAAGTATTTAACCAATGTTTATGCAAACACATACTCCAAGCCTATGTTTAACTCAAAGAACCCATCATTGGCATTTTCCAAATGAAATCATATTATTTATATATCCAAAATGCTTTATAACACAATAATGTGTATTTTTGAAAATGGTTGATAAAACCAGATGCATCAAGAGTGAACTCATATTGTTAGATTTATGCTGAATTTAGTTTTCACCTCAAATCTTAAACTTCCTTGGTGAAAACTTGAAATCCTCAAGCAAACATGTCTGGAAAACTTATCTATGTCACAACCAAGCTTAGAAATAACCAAATATGAACACAAGTTTTAAATCTACAAAGATCCCCAAATGGAGCTCAATACACTCAATAACTTACCTCACCAAGATCTTGAAACCATCCACCAAAGGATCTTTAATCCCCATGCTAAACCTTCCATTTTGATCCAAAAACCTTCCAAAATCGACCCAGTGTTGCCTAAAATCGCCAAAAAGGAGAGAAAGTCTAAAGGGGGTAGTAGATAAGAAAACCCTAAAATCGACCTTAAAACTCGACTAGCCGCCTTCCCTCGAATTTTCTTGCGACTTAAGTCACGAGGTAAGTCGTCCGCTTCCCTAAAGCTTAAACCCTAATCCAAAAGAAGTTGCACTTATACCTAGGTGGATATACACATGCACGTAAATCTGCTTTGATATACGCTCGTAAACCCACGTGGTTATAAAATCAAGCGTAAACCCGCTTCGATATACACTCGCAAACCCGTATGGATATACACTCAAGCATAAAACCGCTTGGATATATACTTACGCGTAAACCTGCACAATTTTACTTGGTAAGTCTGCACGTTCTACCAACCACATAAAATCGAGGGTGTTACATACTAATAATAACGTAGTGTAGGTAAATGTCAAGATTAATTCCACATCATAATTATAAATTACAAAAAAAAATATACAAAATAATAACATGGCACACATATAATACATGTGTGACTTTTTATACATGTGTGCAAGTAATCAGTCCTTAAAAGAAAATAAAAAATAAAAACTAACACATCTGACATCTTTCATCTGTCACTATTTAACTTGTATTCATAAATTTTGATTTTATTATAGTTAAAATACGTATTTTCGATCATTTCTTATTTGAAATAATGTATTCCGCATATAAAATATCACATACATACTTTTATGTTTCCTCAATTTTTGGTAAATAGCAAAATGGTTTAAATTTTATCAATTTACATAGTTTTGGTTCGTGTATTTTATATTGTTTTACATATTAAATAATTATTTTATTAAAGTATTTTTAGTTAAAAAAATTCAAAAAAAGACATTTTGGTCATTTACCAATATTTATTCCAATTTTAAAGCTACATTCTGTGAACCAAACAGACATGTTATCAATTTGTGTAAAAACTACCTTCACAAGGATTTTAATTGTTATATTGTGTAACGGTTTGATTTTAGCAAAAAATGGATGAAATTTTGGTTCTAAAATGGACGAAAATTAAAGGATATTTTATTTTGAAAAAAGAAAAAACCGTTGTCCAATAGAAATTGGTTTTTGAAGTATGATTATAAGATTTAAACGACGAACAACTATGTTTTTCTTCCGTTATTATTGTGATCTAAATAATATTGCTCTGGGTTATATTAATATCAACATAAATATTGCAGATTGTGACCAGTTAATTCGTCATTCTTTGATTCTAATGGGCGAGATAGGAGGAAACGATTACAATCATGCATTACTTGCTGGGAAATCCATCGACGAGATTGAAACATATGTTCCACTTGTTGTTAAGGCCATCATCTCAACGGTTAAGGTAAGAACATATATAAAAATGTAATGTGTGTTTTCTATTCCTTTTATATAATTGTAATAACAAGAAGGAATTATGAGAGTGGTCTGACTTCATTGTGATGAATGGAAACACAGGAACTTATTAAACTAGGGGCCAAGACAATACTTATACCAGGAAACCTACCAATTGGATGTTCTGCGGCGTATTTAACATTGTACCATGACTCTGATAAGGCAGAATATGATAATTCAACTGGTTGCTTGATCTGGTTGAACAAGCTTTCTGAGTACCACAATCAGCTTCTCCAAAAAGAATTATACCAACTCCGAGAGCTTCATCGTGATGCCAACATCATCTATGGTGACTATTACAATGCTGCCATGCAATTCTTTCGTTATCCAGACAAATATGGTACATAACATGTCACTTTTAAACATGAAAAACGTCAAAATCAATCCATCTTGGATGATACTTACAAAACGTTGAATTGTTACAGGTTTCACAAATGGAGCTTTAAAGGCATGTTGTGGAGGTGGAGGACCGTTTAACTACAATTTATCAGTACATTGTGGAGACCCATCATCAAATTTATGTGCTCATCCAGATACATATGTTAACTGGGACGGACTGCACTTAACGCAAGCAGCATATAAAATTATCTACAAAAGCTTATTTCAAGGGTCATACACTGTGCCCCAGTTCAACTCCATCTGCCCAACTTCAATGTTACGACCGATAAAAGAATTATCAAGTGCAATTTAAGTAAGTGGTGCACATTTCATTAATTATTATTCAACCCTAAATACATGTAGTTATACATGGAAAGGGGATGTTAGGGGAAAATGTTATATGAGGAGACGTTACACCCTTAATTATAATCATAAGTTCTACCTTGCTATTTTAGTAAACCAAATCAATTCGAACATGCATGAAATTAATCTTTATGTTTCAAGTACTCGAGAAATATGATATCAAGCTTTAATTCATATGGGAGACACGGAAGGGCAAGACGGGAAAAAACATGTTCTATGAACCTGTTTCATTACAGCTGTTATACATATGAACCTGTTTCATTACAGTTGTTATATATATGAACACGTTTCATTACAAACTGTTATACTTATCTATGGATATAAACTTGTTTCATTACAACTGTTATACATATGAACCTGATGCAATCATATATGATCTTGTTTCATTGAACAATTTGAGCCTATTTCATTGGAAATTACTCTGTTTCGTTGAACAATTTGAGCTTGTTTCATAGGAAATTAGTGACGAGTTTTTAAACAAAATTATTCTACAATTTTTAAAATGTGGCATTTTTTTTCAAAAAATTTAATGGATACCTCAATTGAATCTTTGCTAATATTGTACTAATCAATATATCATCCATATTTATATAAATATTATGTTGTTACCAAATTTATCTATTAATATTAAATAATTACCAAACATAACTATTGTAAATTTAAATGACCATAATACCCTTATAAATAAAAAAGGAAAACAAATGAATTATAATGATTGTTTGTAATTAGTTTATACAATTGGATGGTTTGTATTTGATCGTTCATATATATATATATATATATATATATATATATATATATATATATATAAAGGGCTCTTCTTTTGAGATTTGTGCAACTTGTCTGTAAGATCCAATGATACCACAAAAAAGTAGTTGAAAAATAAAATCTAATATAAAATAAAAACCCTCACTCTTCTATATCCTCTTTTTTCTCTCATCTCTCCTATATTTTCCCTCTTATTTGTAACACCCCAACTTGCACATTTGCATATATCATGTACTTCATTTAAAAGAAATACAATTTACACTACAAATGTCTCACTAGTACAAAAAACTTATATACAGAATTTACAATTCAAAAATTCCAAAAGAATATTCTTATACAATCACATGTATAATAACATGTATCTTCAAAATACATCAATCAATAGGTTGATATTCAAAACAGTAGATAAATACATAAAGTAAAATAATTACATTTTTCTCTTTCCCCTATCCCTTGACCCCGCTGAACCTGCAATGCATATTTTGAAACACAAAATGAGGGTTAGACCAAGAGTTCTAGTGAGATAACTCTTGTTTTACACTTAGAGGGTGAAGATCACCAAAACATGTTTAAAATTCATATTTGAATGTCCAACTACTTTAAAACAAATATAACTTCAGTAAAACAAAACTGCAAGTTATAAAACGATCTTATCACATAAGAAGAATAACCACTCAAGTTCTCACATACATCTTAAATATAATTCTCAAGGCTTATAAGTCACAACTGATCAGAGCTTATGGTCTCAACCTCCATGATCATATAGAATAGTATCAATAAATAAAAATCACCAGAGTTCTTGGTTATTATTAAAAACTTTTTAAGATACAACCAGATTTAAACTTAAATAAAAACTAATTAAATAATAACCACTGACCCACCGGGTTTTATTTCAAATCACTACTCTTTGAAACACTCAAAGTATGATATCTCAAAATCATTTGAAAACACGAGCAATTAATGGCTCCGATTATAAGTCATTTTCCCCTTCTCAATAACATCGTTGTTATCATTTCAATAAGAGCAATTTTCCTAAGTTTTCATGTAACAAAGAAATGTTGACTTAGAATTATCGCATCTTAAAGATGTGACAACAAGAGCTATAATAGTAACCACACACACAATTGCCACCCTTATCCAAATGTACACCTCTCCTTGATATGTCACCCTTATTCCATGGTACACATCTCCTTGATATGTCACCCTTATCCCATGGTATACCTCTCATTGATATGCTCACCTTTATCCCATGGTACACCTATCCTTGGTATGCCACCATTGTTTCCTCCTCAAGTCTATAGATAAATCTGTAGTTTTAGCTAATAATGGTTTCAAAATAGTTTCATATTAGAAATTTATCTCAAGAACTTCTCAAGTTCTTAAATTCACTTTTCATTCTCATCTCAGTATTTTCTTTCAAAGATAAATCTCTCATCTCATCAGCTTTGAAATAAACAACAATATCTTTCTCAATTTGTAAACCACTTGAAAGATACAAAAATACCCTTTCTCACATAAAACAATTTAAAACTGTTAAACAACATTTTGTAAAAAAATGTTTTTATATCACAAGACTTGGGCGATAACTGCCCTTTATCGTCCAACACTATGGCCGAGGACCCTTCCCCATCGAACAACACTTATCCAATCCGGACAACACCTAAAAATGGTAAACATACTTACCGGTCACACTTTGTCCGGTAACAATCCTCATCGGTCAACACACTGTCCGGATATGTTCTCATGGGACAACACTATGTCCGGTAACCAATCTCACCGGTTAACATTCTGTCTAGTTAACTACCTCACCAGTCAACACTTAAAAGATAAATATTAAAACCGGCTAAAGCTTTGTCCGATGAGCATCCTCACCGGACAAGGCATGCACGATAACAACTACAATCCGGTCAACACTATGTCCGATAAAGGGTTTTCACCGGACAAAAATGTGTCCGATAAAGTCTTCATCGGATGACGAGTTAAAATACTCAACTCATATACCGGTCAAGGCTTGGCCGGTAAGGAGCCCTCATCGGACAACACTTTGTCCGATTACAGGCCCTTATCAGCCCATGAATTTCATAAGAACATATATATACATAATGCATATATATACACCAGCAGATTCTAAAATCATGAAAACCAGTATTAGTAAATTCAAAGTCTGGTTTGTTAAAAGGACTCACCTTATGCAGCTTTTGAAATTGAAGAAGTAAACAACAAATTTAAATCAGCTTCCACTTTGATTCCAACTCTCAATTTTCCAAATTTGACAAGAACTCACACGGATCTCTCTTTCTTTCAGACCTTCCAAAAATGGTAACTCCAAAAAGTTCTTTTTAAGATCTTTACTTTTATATATGCCTCATGAGTAAGGCGGTGAAAAAAAAACCATTTTAATAAGAAAATCTTTTTCTTCTCAACCCCATGCACCTACACTCATGCACATGCATCATCATGTAATACCTACACATATAGAACTCATGCATACACAAATGCATATTTAATCCATGTATGCATTCCAACCCTTCATCCATGCATAAAAACAATGCATACATAGACTCACATCAACATTTCATGCATACATACACATTTTTCACACACATATATATATATATATATATATATATATATCCACATGATCAATTATAGCAATTAATCATATATTCATGTGACCACATAATTAAGTAATAACATAACAATTAGCTCAGGTGTATACCAGGACCGGGTTATCACACTATTTTTTTTCTCCTCTCTCCATAACATATACATACACATATAACTGAATACACACAATATGTGATACATTGTGAACACTTTCTTAAAAATATTATTATAATTTGTGAACACACTCTAATTCTAGATTTAGTATAGGTTGTGAACATATTGTAAATACCAACTAAATCAATAAAACTAAATCTAAATCTATCATTAGTGAACACCATGTGAACCTTGTAAATACATTATAAACACCCTATTAAAAAAAATCTTAAATTATTTATATTTTGTTCACTATGTGTTCACTTTATATTCACATTTAATTTTGCAGATATGTTACGAACAGAGTGGAGAAGATAGAAAAAGAAAGAAAGATATATGTATGAATTTTTTTAAAAATTGCAATAATTTTTATTTAATAAATGAAAATAGCTATCTCATTATTATCTTCTTAGTTAATAGCATTAATTATCTGAATTTAGTGGTTTATGATGCATCTTAATACCTTACAAGTTATAAATTTTAGAGTTTTTAAATAAATAAGCCTCATATATATAATATTTGTAATTTACTTTTGATTTAATAAATAGTAATTTACATATTTTTTCCAATTTAAATCTTAATTGTATTATTATTTATAATTTAAGAAAAAAACAAATTCAAAGAAAAGGGTATTTTAGTAATTTTTATTATTTTATTCAAAATCATAATTTACATTCATTAAACCAAAAAGACAGATTCCAATTAATTTGGCAAATTGCATTTTATTTTCTGTCAACCAAACAAAACTTGATAAAATTTGTACAAAACATTAAACCAAATCATATATTTCATGTGTACAATGAATACAAAAGAATATAGAATTTGAAAATCCTAGATGTGTACAAGTAGATAGCTAGAACAATTAAGAACTCAAAGATAAACTAGAGAAATCATAAAATAAAAATGAACCAATGAATGAATTCAACCAGGAGAAATAGCCTATTTATATTAATTAGGAAATTGCAAAAATAGCCTCAAAGAATGAAGACTCTTATTTCGCTACCCTCCAAAATCTCCAAAAAGTGAGGCGCGATCCTTCTGCTTCAAACCATCAACTTCAAGATTTTGATAGCTTCAACCCCTTAGGATAACAGTTCTGTTAAGAAAATAACAAAAGTGAAGATTGAAAAAATTTATCACATTTTAACACTCTCCCTCAATCTTGACTTTTGAATAAGTCAATCATTCGTAACTTTGAACATAAGAAGTTATGATGATCAACACCAAGAGCCTTTGTAAAGATATCGGCAGGTTGTTCAGAAGAAAGCATTTTTACAATTTTTAACAAGCCTTTACTAATGTTTTCTCGAATTTGATGAATATCTATTTCAACGTGTTTAGTAAGTTAGTGAAAAACAAGGTTGTTGGCTATTTGAATAGCAGATTTATTATCATAGTATACAGAAACATGTAATAAATCTAAAACATTTAAATCTTTGAGAACTTTTAGAACCCATAAGACCTGACAAGTAGTAGAAGCCATGACTCTATATTTAGATCCTGCAGAAGAACGAGAAACAATACTTTGTTTCTTGCTCTTCCAAAAAATATGGAATTTCCTAGAAATAAACAAAACTCAGTTACAGAACGTCTAGAAGAGAGACACTTACCTAGAAGAGAGACACTTACCTCAATCGACATCAACAAAAGTAGTTGAACATAATTTTTCTAACCTAGTGAAGCTAACACCTTTACCTGGAGATAA